CCGATATTCGGTATTTGGATGATTTTACCCACATTTTTCAACGGAATTGTCTGAAAATCCACACAAGGAGTTCCTTGTGGGTACTTTATACCTCGGCAGAGAATTATCTATATAGGTCCACAATATCGTATAGCCCCCATATAACGGTACCCCCCGATATTCGGTATTTTGATGATTTTACCCACATTTTTCAACGGAATTGTCTGAAAATCCACACAAGGAGTTCCTTGTGGGTACTTTATACCTCGGCAGAGAATTATCTATATAGGTCCACAATATCGTATAGCCCCCATATAACGGTACCCCCAGATATTCGGTATTTTGCTGATTTTACCCACATTTTTGAACGGAATTGTCTGAAAATCCACACAAGGAGTTCCTTGTGGGTACTTTATACCTCGGCAGAGAATTATCTATATAGGTCCACAATACCGTATAGCCCCCATATAAAGGTACCCCCCGATATTCGGTATTTTGATGATTTTACCCACATTTGTCAACGGAATTGTCTGAAAATCCACACAAGGCGTTCCTTGTGGGTACTTTATGCCTCGGCAGAGAATTATCTATATAGGTCCACAATATCGTATAGCCCCCATATAACGGTATCCCCCGATATTCGGTATTTTGATGATTTTACCCACATTTTTCAACGGAATTGTCTGAAAATCCACACAAAGAGTTCCTTGTGGGTACTTTATACCTCGGCAGAGAATTATCTATATAGGTCCACAATATCGTATAGCCCCCACATAACGGTACCCCCAGATATTCGGTATTTTGCTGATTTTACCCACATTTTTGAACGGAATTGTCTGAAAATCCACACAAGGAGTTCCTTGTGGGTACTTTATACCTCGGCTGAGAATTATCTATATAGGTCCACAATACCGTATAGCCCCCATATAAAGGTACCCCCCGATATTCGGTATTTTGATGATTTTACCCACATTTTTCAACGGAATTGTCTGAAAATCCACACAAGGAGTTCCTTGTGGGTACTTTATACCTCGGCAGAGAATTGTCCCTATAGGTCCACGACATCGTATAGCCCCCATATAACGGTAGCTTCACGGTATTCGGTATTTTGATGATTTTACCCACATTTTTCAACGGAATTGTCTAAAAATCCACACAAGGAGTTCCTTGTGGGTACTTTATACCTCGGCAGAGAATTATCTTTATAGGCCCACAATATCGTGTAGCCCCCATATAACGGTACCTCCCGATATTCGGTATTTTGATGATTTGACCCACATTTTTCATCGGAATTGTCTGAAAATCCACACAAGGAGTTCCTTGTGGGTACTTTATACCTCGGCAGAGAATTATCTATATAGATCCACGATATTGTATAGCCCTCATATAACGGTACCCCCAGATATTCGGTATTTTGCTGATTTTACCCACATTTTTGAACGGAATTGTCTGAAAATCCACACAAGGAGTTCCTTGTGGGTACTTTATACCTCGGCTGAGAATTATCTATATAGGTCCACAATACCGTATAGCCCCCATATAAAGGTACCCCCCGATATTCGGTATTTTGATGATTTTACCCACATTTGTCAACGGAATTGTCTGAAAATCCACACAAGGAGTTCCTTGTGGGTACTTTATGCCTCGGCAGAGAATTATCTATATAGGTCCACAATATCGTATAGCCCCCATATAACGGTACCCCCCGATATTCGGTATTTTGCTGATTTTACCCACATTTTTGAACGGAATTGTCTGAAAATCCACACAAGGAGTTCCTTGTGGGTACTTTATACCTCGGCAGAGAATTATCTATATAGGTCCACAATATCGTATAGCCCCCATATAACGGTACCCCCAGATATTCGGTATTTTGCTGATTTTACCCACATTTTTGAACGGAATTGTCTGAAAATCCACACAAGGAGTTCCTTGTGGGTACTTTATACCTCGGCTGAGAGTTATCTATATAGGTCCACAATACCGTATAGCCCCCATATAAAGGTACCCCCCGATATTCGGTATTTTGATGATTTTACCCACATTTTTGAACTGAATTGTCTGAAAATCCACATAAAGAGTTCCTTGTGTGTACTTTATACCTCGGCAGAGAATTATTTATATAGGTCCACAATATTGTATAGCCCCCATATAACGGTACCCCCCGATATTCGGTAGTTCGATGATTTTACCCACATTTTTGAACGGAATTGTCTGAAAATCCACACAAAGAGTTCCTTGTGGGTACTTTATACCTCGGCAGAGAATTATCTATATAGGTCCACGCTATCGTATAGCCCCCATGTAACGGTACCCCCCAAAATTCGGTAGAATTATTTATATAGGTCCACAATATCGTATAGCCCCCATATAACGGTACCCCCCGATGTTCGGTATTTTGATGATTTTACTCACATTTTTGAACGGAATTGTCTGAAAATCCACACAAAGAGTTCCTTGTGGGTACTTTATACCTCGGCAGAGAATTATTTATATAGGTCCACAATATTGTATAGCCCCCATATAACGGTACCCCCCGATATTCGGTAGTTCGATGATTTTACCCACATTTGTCAACGGAATTGTCTGAAAATCCACACAAGGAGTTCCTTGTGGGTACTTTATACCTCGGCAGAGAATTATCTATATAGGTCCACAATATCGTATAGCCAACATATAACGGTACCCCCCGATATTCGGTATTTTGATGATTTTACCCACATTTTTCAACGGAATTGTCTGAAAATCCACACAAGGAGTTCCTTGAGGGTACTTTATACCTCGGCAGAGAATTATTTATATAGGCCCACAATATCGTATAGCCCCCATATAACGGTACCCCCCGATATTCGGTATTTTGATGATTTTACCCACATTTTTCAACGGAATTGTCTGAAAACCCACACAAAGGGTTCCTTGCGGGTACTTTATACATCGGGAGAGAATTATCTATATAGGTCCACAATATCGTATAGCCCCCATATAACGGTACCCCCCGATATTCGGTATTTTGATGATTTTACCCACATTTTTGAACGGAATTGTCTGAAAATCCACACAAGGAGTTCCTTGTGGGTACTTTATACCTCGGCAGAGAATTATCTATATAGGACCACAATATCGTATAGCCCCCATGTAACGGTACCCCCCGATATTCGGTATTTTGATGATTTTACCCACATTTTTCAACGGAATTGTCTGAAAATCCACACAAGGAGTTCCTTGTGGGTACTATAGGACCACAATATCGTATAGCCCCCATGTAACGGTACCCCCCGATATTCGGTATTTGGATGATTTTACCCACATTTTTCAACGGAATTGTCTGAAAATCCACACAAGGAGTTCCTTGTGGGTACTTTATACCTCGGCAGAGAATTATCTATATAGGTCCACAATATCGTATAGCCCCCATATAACGGTACCCCCCGATATTCGGTATTTTGATGATTTTACCCACATTTTTCAACGGAATTGTCTGAAAATCCACACAAGGAGTTCCTTGTGGGTACTTTATACCTCGGCAGAGAATTATCTATATAGGTCCACAATATCGTATAGCCCCCATATAACGGTACCCCCAGATATTCGGTATTTTGCTGATTTTACCCACATTTTTGAACGGAATTGTCTGAAAATCCACACAAGGAGTTCCTTGTGGGTACTTTATACCTCGGCAGAGAATTATCTATATAGGTCCACAATACCGTATAGCCCCCATATAAAGGTACCCCCCGATATTCGGTATTTTGATGATTTTACCCACATTTGTCAACGGAATTGTCTGAAAATCCGCACAAGCAGTTCCTTGTGGGTACTTTATGCCTCGGCAGAGAATTATCTATATAGGTCCACAATATCGTATAGCCCCCATATAACGGTATCCCCCGATATTCGGTATTTTGATGATTTTACCCACATTTTTCAACGGAATTGTCTGAAAATCCACACAAAGAGTTCCTTGTGGGTACTTTATACCTCGGCAGAGAATTATCTATATAGGTCCACAATATCGTATAGCCCCCACATAACGGTACCCCCAGATATTCGGTATTTTGCTGATTTTACCCACATTTTTGAACGGAATTGTCTGAAAATCCACACAAGGAGTTCCTTGTGGGTACTTTATACCTCGGCTGAGAATTATCTATATAGGTCCACAATACCGTATAGCCCCCATATAAAGGTACCCCCCGATATTCGGTATTTTGATGATTTTACCCACATTTTTGAACGGAATTGTCTGAAAATCCACACAAGGAGTTCCTTGTGGGTACTTTATACCTCGGCAGAGAATTGTCCCTATAGGTCCACGACATCGTATAGCCCCCATATAACGGTAGCTTCACGGTATTCGGTATTTTGATGATTTTACCCACATTTTTCAACGGAATTGTCTAAAAATCCACACAAGGAGTTCCTTGTGGGTACTTTATACCTCGGCAGAGAATTATCTTTATAGGCCCACAATATCGTGTAGCCCCATATAACGGTACCTCCCGATATTCGGTATTTTATGATTTGACCCACATTTTTCATCGGAATTGTCTGAAAATCCACACAAGGAGTTCCTTGTGGGTACTTTACCCACCGACAGAGAATTCTCTATATAACGGCTAACGATAACGTATAGCTCCCATATAACGATTCCCCGCGATATACGGTATTTTGATGTTGTTAGCCACATTTTCCAATCGTATTGTCTGAAAATCCACACACGGAGTTCCTTGTGAGTACTTTACACGCAGACATAGATTTGTCTTTATAGGTCCACAATATCGTATATCCCCCCATATATCGGCACCTTCCTATATTAAATATTTTAAAGATTTTAAAAGAATTTTTATTGGATTTTATTTTGTTTTGAAAATTTTCTAATTCGTTCCAAATTGTGGAGGGTATTCAAAGTTCGGCCCGGCCGAACTTACTGCTTTTTTACTTGTTTTTTTTTTTTCAATATATTTTGGATTGATTATAGTATGGACGGGGTAGTACTTACCTGTAATTATATTTTATTTCAGATAAAGCCGTATTAAGCAATGCTTTAGATGATATAAAGTTTTTCGAAGTGAACCCGCAGGTAAGTCTGTCGTAAAAATTGACCAACACCTTTATTTAGACTTGGCTTAGCATCCTAGTACATGTCGACACTAAGTGTTATTTAATTTAATTATTATTATTTAAATAATCTGTGAATGTCTTATTCTCCTTTTGTGATATTGTTTAGTGTGATTATGCTAAGTTAGATTAATCTTTGTAGTACCAAAGACAAATATTTTTATTCCCTCCACCTTAGAAAGTAGCATTTCTGAAAATTCATCGTTGACCTCATAAAGTATACATATATATTCGTAATCAGCATAAAATTCCAAGTCGATTCAACGATGTCCGTCTGCCTGTCTATCTATTGAAACCACGATACAGCACAAATTTGACGTAGAGCATCAAAATTTAGCAGAAAATTTGTATTGTGCCTAAAATGGTTGGTATTGAAAATGAGATATATCGGTCCACGTTTTGCCATAGCCCCCATACAACGGTACCTCCCGATATTCGGTGTTTTGATGATTTTTGCACATTTTTTAACGGATTTTAACAGAAATTGGTATTTTTAGTTCGTAATGGGTTGTAGCTCGTGTTGCGAAACATTGTATTATTATATTACCCACATAATTGTTTCAAATTTGGTATTTAAGAAGATTTATAAGATGACAATCCTTGAAGTATAAAATTGTCTATAGAGGTTTCCGTTTTGGTATGGCCCCACATAACCGCCTCACTCACTTTACGGTTTTTTGATAAGTTTAACTACATTATGCAAAAGGTCTTATTGGTATATGAAGTTTAAAATGAAACACGCTTGAATTCAGATACCTTTATGTAAAAAGGTTTTCTTTACCCTAAGGTGGAGGGTATTAAAAGTTCTGCCCCGCCGAACATAATGTTTTTTTGCTTGTTTAAATAAATACGATTAGAAATTCTGCCAAGCCGGCAGGTTCTGCTTTTGTTCTCATCTTAATATTTGGCCGTTCGAGCTGGATAAATATGAATTTTCAAGAGCAACAATCCACTACTGTTTATATGAACGAAGCAGTTTCTCCCACCAGTGGCGAGAAAGTCTAAATTAAAGGCCTGCACAAGACGAATTGTATGAATTATGCTTTTTCCGACACTGACTTTGTCTACTCAAGCATGCGCTATGTATTTGATAGGCAATGACAACCAACAACATCCCCCATTTTGATTCATGTGTGCCATTGTCTAAGGTTCGATCGTGGCATGGCTAACTCGAATATTTGCATGGTGTTCTCCATAAATGCAGGATGTCGACGATGACATCGAACCATAGCATCGTCAAATTGTGTATCATTTGTGTACGTGTGCTTAAATTGAGAGAGTGTGTGTGTGTCTTTCGACGGTGAGGATGTGTTTTGTGTGTGCTGTAATTTTGAAGTAACAAACACGGCATACATATAAAAGTGAGTACGAAATCAATAATTAAAAAATTTTCTTTATGACGTAGTTGAGGGCAAAGATTTCTTAATATCTTTTATCAGATATTTATACCCTCCACTAAAAAAAGTATGGAGGGTATATTAAGTTCGTCATTCCGTATATATATTCCTGATCAGCGTAAAATTCTAAGACGATTTAGCCCTGTCCGTCCATCTGTCCGTCTGTTGTAATCACGCTACAGTCTAAACGAATTAAGATAGGAAGCTAAAATTTTGCATAGATCTCTCTTTTGTCTGCAGGCAGTCAAGTTCGAAGATGGGCAATATCGGTCCACGATATCGTATAGCCCCCATATAACGGTACCTCCGATATTCGGTATTTTGATGATGTTAGCCACATTTTTCAATAGAATTGTCTGGAAAACCACACAAGTAGTTCCTTGTGGGTACTTTATACCTCGGCAGAGAATTATCTTTATAGGTCCACAATATCGTGTAGCCTCCATATAACGGTACCCCCCGGTATTCGGCATTTTGATGATTTTAGAAACATTTTTCAATGGAATTGTCTGAAATTCCACAAAAGGAGTCCCTTGTGAGCATTTTACCCCCTCAAAAAGAACTGTTTATATATGTTCACGATATCGTATATCCCCCATATAACTGTACCCCCCGATATTCGGTATTTTGATGATGTTAGTCACATTGTTCAATGGAATTGTCTTAAAATCAACACAAGGAGTTCCTTGCGAGTATTTTACCCCCTGATAGAGAATTGTCTATACAGGTCCACGATATCGTACATCCCCCATATAACGGTACCCCCGATATTCGGTATTTTTATGATTTTACTCACATTTTGCATCGGAATTGTCTGAAAATCCACACAAGGAGTTCCTTGTGGGTACTTTATACCTCGGCAGAGAATTAGCTATATAGGTCCACGATATCGTACATCCCCCATATAACGGTACTCCTCTATATTCGGTATTTTGATGATTTTAGCCACTTTTTCCAATGGAATTATCTGAAAATCCACATAAGGAGTACCTTGTTAGTACTTTACACGCAGACATAGATTTGTGTTTATAGGTCCACAATATCGTATATCCCCCATATATCGGCACCTTCCTATATTAGATATTTTAAAGATTTTAAAAGAATTTTTAATGGATTTTATTTTTTTGAAAAATTTGTAATTCGTTCCAAATGGAGGAGGGTATTCAAAGTTCGGCCCGGCCGAACTTACTGCTTTTTTACTTGTTTTTAATAAGGATTGACATATTGGATTGAAAGAAAAACTTTATTACAAAAAATGTATTTTTTCACATATCGGAAAAACAGGTAGCGAATCACATATAGGAAAAACAGATAGCGATTGCGCTTTGCCTTCACTACGTGTGTGTCTTTTTCGTTGGCAATTGTTTCATTGTTGTTGCAATTTTTGTGGTAGAACATTTTTGTATGACACACTATTCAACATCCTCTTTTATTGGCCATTACATGTTATGACGATGGGTTTGAGTCCGACCGACATGACTAGACATCGAGCATTTGGTTGGATGTCACATACTGTTATGCGTTTGATCAAACAGGGCAGAACATGACGAGCGTTTTCTCGCCATGGCATAAATAGAGAAATATGTCACACTTGCAGCCCTTTAGTCTAAATAACCAAATAAGGAATTTACGTCCGAAAAAGAGGAAAACTAAATCCATATGGGCACTTTTAATGTAATAACATAGAGAAGGTAACTGCAGGTACCATTTTATTAAAACAATCAAACAATACTTATACCAAAAAATGAAGCAATTTTCTCAACAAAAATGTGTGGCTAAAATCAGATTACAATACAAAACAAGTAAGCAAAGGCTATAGTCGTGCGGGTCCGACCATGTGATACCCTACAACACTACAATATGTTAGAAGCCCTTTATGTCCAAATCCATTTTGGAAGATTTCGCTTTTCCATCCATTCTACCAGTTGTCATAAACTCTAACTTCATGCGAGATTTCGTGTCCTTTGGTTTATATTTGTGTTGTTGTTCCATTTCAACCCCTGAATATATTGCGTACATCTGTGAAAACAATAGGCCTAGCCCCTCTGAGCCTAACCCTACCCCTAGAAAATTTTCGTAAGGATCGGACGATAATTGCAATATGTATATGATATGCCCAACCTGTTTTGTAAAGTGGAATATTAGAAAATGTATTCTTCAATATTTTAAGTCAAATTGAAAAAAAATAGCATGCGATAAAAAAATAAAAAAGTCACAAAATACTACAAAATCTATATTAACATCATTATTGACATCTTTTTATGCGATTTTTTTAGATTTTATTCTTTTATGTCAAGAGGGCATTTTGAATTGACAAAATTTGTCAAAATCGGTCCAGCCATTCTTAAGATATAAGCATTTTAGCTAAAATCCCCTTCCTTTGTTTATACACATTGTTTATATTTCGCTATATATATCCGATATATTTACTATCGGCATCTACGTAACGGTCAGAATTGACCTGTTCGTCTAATTGTGATTTCGTCGGGAAATTTTGACTTTTATTTAACACAAATGTTATAGTCTATTTTACCCACTAAATGTTGTCCGATGACCATAAAAATGGAAGGCTTCTGCCCAGACTTAAGCTCTAGCCCAATGCTAATTTCCGCTTCGATTGGTCCATAATTGCGAACTGTAGAGCAACTGCAAAATCAGGAAATTTTTCAGTTTTTGGTCCACTTCGACCCCTAAATATTATGCGATCATCTCCAAAAGAAATAGGGTTCTATTCTGACCCTAGCCCCACCTGCATTCTAAATTTCGTGAAGATCGGGCCATAATTGCGACCTGTAGAGTGATTACAAATTAACATGGACAGACGGACGGACGTACATAGATAGATCGACTCAGCTCGGCGAGATAGGAAGATCTATATGTACTTTCCTATGTGGGAAATCAATATTTCGAGGTGTTACATAATTTTTGGCCCAATCAAACTTATAATACCCCCAACATATAGTGTTGTAGGGTATAATGACGGAAGGTACTGTTATATGTTATAATTTGGTCTCAGAGAAAGAAGAATGGCACTACCAATTTCCAATTTTGAAACAATGGAACGATGTGGCTATTATCATCTAAATTCCGAATATAAGGAGGCACAGTTATAGTAGTATCCATTACGAACTCCAAATACCAAATTTAAAGCAATTTCGTGGATAAACTCGTTTTCAATCAGAAAAGATAAAACTTTAGCGACGGGTTTGGACTACAGAAAAACTTGGAACTTTGTGGACCGTTCTGTGCTAGGACGTTTTCTATATACTAAAAACACAAACTTCAACGCTACTTCGAATATGTGGTTATGGCCTTATGACGGACGCAGCTGCATGAAGTTTATAACAGACAAGTTAAAAAGTATCAGTCGGTTCTGCTAATTAAATATATGATTATTCAAACTTTTGGCCCTCTATTGAGTGGGTTCTGAAGAAATGGGCAATATTGTGTATTTCTTATCGGACCTAAATAAATACGATATAAATATTGCGACGTGCCAGCTTTGGTTTCTATTCGTCTCAAGTTTCTGGTTCACAAGTTATGACAGATAAAAGTATTAAAAATT